CCCCCCAGCCATTTCTCTGCCTCCCACCGAGAGGAATGCCAAGGATCCGTTGTTCCCAGGGGAGAAGCAGGAGGATTTTTTTTTTCACCCTATGGAAGCTTGTCCTGATGTCCAAACCCAAGGGCAAAAAAAAAAAAAAACAAAACAACAAACCCCTCAGGAGACGGGAGATAAGCCGGGCAGATCCCAGTGTCGACAGAAAAGTGAGGGAAAGGGGAATTTTTGCTGTCGCTGATGGAAAAAACCCCAAATGAACCAAACCTCAGCACGGGGTGGGGTGGGGAGGGGGAAGATAAACATTTCCCTCACGGGGTTGGTGTAAGGGAGGGGGAAAGCGTCGCTTATCTGAAACCTTTTCCTATTTAGCAGGATTTTGAAAAGCTAAAATATGCCCAGAAAGGTTAAAGCTTGTGCGGCCGGAGAGCACAGTACCCACCTCGGGAGAACACACGGCATTAAAAAACAACCAGTTTGAAACCCTTGAGGTCGGAGCCAAGTTACGTCTCTCCACTGTCCCGGAAAAGCCGCTTTTTTAACAGCATCAAAGCAAAATGCCTCAAATTTACAGTTCCATGAAACCTCCCCGCAACCGCAGGGCTCGACGGCTGCCCTTCGCTCCCCGTTCCCTGGCAGGGTGCCATGTGAAACAAAGGCGACCGCGGGGCCGCGCAGGAATTTGGAGCTGGGTGGGGAGGTTTTTGCCAAGTTATTGTTTCGGGCAGAGGGGTAGGAGGAAAAGGGAGTGCGAGAGAGCTCAGGAAACAGGCTGAAAACGCTGATCTGAAGCAGGAATTAGCAGTGATTCCTGACGCCGGGTGGCTCGCAGGGTGGGTTTTTAGCGGTGCTGGGGCTGGAAAAGGTTCGGTGCTGTTATTGAGGAGGGGGGAAAGCTGTAGGATTTACCCTCTCCGCGTCCGGATAACGAGAACGGAGGGGCTATGCCACCCCCGCCGTCCCCGCTTCGCAGAAGAGGGAAGAAGGTGGCACACACCTCCCTCCCCATCAGCACCAGGGGCCTAATTAATATTTCTAATCGAGCAGCAGGCGAACGCGAAGCATCATTAAATCCACGGGCCAAACCCACAGGGATTTCTGCCACCCCCAGTAATTCTAAAGCAAGACACGAACGCGCTCGGAAGAAAACCCTCCCGTGAAGGGCTTTGTGGCCTCTTATTTTCCCGGCGTTTGCTCTCCGTACGGCAAAGATTAAGCCCTCGCAGAAGAAACCTGACATCTGTCAGGATTGTTCACCTCCAGCGCGCTACATGACATTTAACCACGCCGTTCTCCTTCGCTTTCAGGAACCTGAGCGGTTCCTGCGGGATTCCTGCCTGCGGATCCCCACCCTCCTGCTGCTGCAGGCGGCTCCCAGCGGGATGCACCTCCTCCTAACCCCTTCCCATCTCGTCTCGCTGGATAAAACAGCGAGGTCTGAGCGGGGACGGAGGTGGGATCACCACGCTGATGTTATTTAAGTGCTAAGAAAGCTCAAGGGTTTCGCTGCTCGTGACACCAAGTCTCCATACAGCACCTGCAGGGCTCCCAGATAGCAGGAGTCATAGAATCATAGAATGGTTAGGGCTGGAAGGGACCTTCAAAGGTCATTTAGTCCAACCCCCCTGCAAGGAACAGGGATATCTCCAACTAGATCAGGTTGCTCAGGGCCTCGTCCAACCTGGCCTTGAACGTCTCCAGGGATGGAGCACCCACCACCTCTCTGGGCAACCTGACTCCTGGCCCACCTGGAGCATCACGAGACGAGATGGAGAGGTCAGGAGAGCCAAAATTCTCTTACCTGGTACTTCAACAGTCAGAGACTTCTCCCGGGTTTGCAGCCTGTACACCAGCATGTAAGCGTTGCGCGAGCAGTGAGTCCCTTTCCCGCACTTGGGTTTACGAGTTTGGGATTTCGAAGGTTCCGCTGTGGCAGAGAAGGTAAAAACATCATAAAACACCCAAAGCTCACTCACTGACTCTCCATTAACGGGACGAGTTTGCCACCTAGCCGGCTTTCCTCGCCCCGCCGCGCTCTGCCAGGCCTCTTTGTGCCAAGCGCTGGGTTTGGCATGAGCCGAAATTGTATCCCAAAGAAAAGATCCAAATCCCTCCAGCATTTTTGGAAGCTGGGTAATTCAAAGGGACTAAAATTAGGAGCCTGTTCTGAACCGCCCTTCTGCAAAAGCCTTTCTTCTCTCCCCAATTAAACCTCAGCGAGCCAAGAGCAGCCCTTGCAAAAACCTCCTTTCTCCCCTCTGTCTCTTGTTCTGACACCAAAGAACAGAGTCAAATCCTCTGGGAAGTAAAGTGTCGGGCAACAAAGCTTTCCGGGAGCAAAAAGCGGCAGAAACGGTCATTTTGGAGCGGCTGGTGGTACGACACCAACTCGTGTTGCAAGAGGTGCTGATTCCAGACAGAGTGGCAGGTAAAGGGAAAAAAACCCACTTATCTACAGCTGGAGCTCCAAAAAAATCAACCAGCTTTCTTATATATAAAAAAAGTAAATAAAGGAACAAACCTTCATCGGTCAAACTCTAAATGGAACACGGAAATATTAAGGAATAACCTTCCCCAGGTCCAAAAGGAACATTGAAATACTAAGAAAAGTGCCTATCTTGCCCAAATTTTGGAAAAAATTCACGTGCCCCTCCCGCTGCACCATCCAGGAGACTTCCTAGATGCTCTTTATTTGCATTTTTTCCAAATATTTTTCTCGATTGTTCCCATCTGTGCAGCCTCTCCCCACAGCAGACCCTCCTCCCGCTGTTCCAGGCCTTTGTAACGGAGAAGAGGCTCAGTTTCGCTCGGAGCGGGCAAATAACCTCAGCGCTCCAGGATTTTTCCTTAGCACTTGATAAACAGATGAAGTTTCGCAGCCTACAGAGGCTTCTAAACACCCTTTCCTTATATTCTCCACGCAGTCTGGGATTTCAGCGAGGAAATTTACTTATTTAAGCATAAACCTTCCCAAAATCGAGGCCACGGCGGTTGATTTGCCCCTTGTTTTGCGACGCTGGGTACGGCAGGAGGTTAAAACGAAACGCTGAGCGGCTCTTCTTTCCTTCTGAGCCTTCTTTTGCGATCCTACGCCACTAGATGTCTGGCCAGCTTCACGATTCCGTTGTCAAACATTACCAGGATGCCAAAGCTGCTCCGGTGCCGCGCTGAAACGCCAAGAAGGTGTTTGCTGGCAAGAGAGCCGAAAAGAAAGCCGCAGCACGGAGATGCGTGCGCGGAAGGGAACGGGAGAGGGAGGTTAATGCCCCAGGTCTGCTCCAGGGTGGGCTCGGACTGACGTGGCTTTACAACCAACTAAGGGAGTGAATCTGTATCTGAGGGTGGTTTTTTATTACGTTGTTATACGAGGATGGTTTAAAGAAAAATAAGAGTTTCATGAAGTCCAACCGCAGCAAAGCACGAGTGTCCTGGTGGGCTGGTGTTTCCAAGAATGAATTGTTTGCACTTTAAGTGGAATTTCTGATATTAATTTCTCCGTTTCCTGATACCGCAGAGAATCCTGTGCTAAGGAACACTGGGTGACTGCAAATCCGAGCGCTCAAAACATCCATTTAATGCTGATCCACTCCTATAAACGGACTGCAGACCGAGAAACCCGCAGGTTCGGCCTCAGCCCAAGCTCTCCAAGGAATCAAGACCCTGTCCTGCCCAGGGAACACCGTCACCTGGGGCAGCACCGGCACGAGACGAGCCAACAACGGCAGAAGAGAAAAGCGCGAAGGAGAAGTAAAAAGCGCAAAATAAAAAGCTGGTTTCGGCTTCCGAGCCGTTATTTGGATCAAGATTTTTTTCCCCAGAGACTCTCACTGCCTCCAAGTAAAACGCCTCAGTGGAAATCAAACCACGACGTGTTAAGGAAACTGAAAGTCATCTCGTTATCTCGTTCCCAAGCCTCCTTTCGCGCACCGGCCAAGGAAGCGGCCGCTTGCCTGTTTCATCCCGATAGGCAACTGCTGCCCGAGTCATCAGCGTCTTATCTGCCACGCAGCAGGCAAGAGAAACACCGGAGCAGAGGAACGGATCACGAGGCACGTGTGAACGCTCCCACGGGGCGGGAACGAAGGAAATCTGGCTGCAATTCACGGAGCCGCCGTTTCACACGTTACCCCTAGGACGCGACGGCACCGGAGCGCTTTTGGTTTCGGAGTTAACGGGGCTCCACGTATTCAGCCTCCGTGTTTTTGGGGAAAAGAGTTATTTTAAAAGGGCACTCACAACTTAAAGGTTTTACCTAGATCTTCCTCAATCCCCAGCTGCAGTTTCTTCCCCTCCATCTTTTCTATGTCTTCGTCGTTGAACTTGTACCACTCGCCCGTCTGCGGGTCCTTCACGTGGGCGATGTAGTGCCCGGAGTAGGCGCTCACGCCGCGGTGGATGAGGACAGCGCTGAGTTCGTACACGTAGACGCCGTCTGGAAGGAAAGAGGCAGTTATGCAGCGCTCTGGATTTAAAAAAAAAAAAAAGTCTTTTCCTTCCAGCACTTAAAAGTTTTTGGAAGGCAGCGGACAAGGATTACACTTGAACTTGGGTCTTTCCGAGACCTCGCTAAGTAGGTTGCGGCTTCCACAACTCACTTGGCAAAGAGGCTATTTGAAACGCGGGATTCAAACAACTCTTGATGTAATTTTCCACCAAAAAGGGGATTTGTAGATCTCCCGTTGTCTGCCGAGGGGCGCTGGGTGAAGCTAACGGAACGCAGTGCACAAAACTCACTTTTTTGTTCCATGAAAGGCTCCATGTCAAGCAGCTCGGAGAAGCCGATGTAGGTGTTGAGCTTTTTCTTATGGCCCGTTTGCCTGTGCAGAGGCAAAGCTTCGGTTCAGGGGACGGCAACAACAGCTCACCTCTCCAAACAACCCCCTCCTCGAAACCCTCCGAGCATCCCTCGAGAAGCTCGGGCACCCACTCAATCCTCCACCTCGCAAATCAACGCGGCAAGAGTGGAGCAGCTCTTCCCAAAGAGGCGTTCCCGCTCCTACGGCGCGCGCGGTCCAGCCAGACGCCCACCTGTCGAAGACGAAACGCATCAGCTGCAGGTTGAGGGTGCAGGGCAGACTCAGCAGCCTGATCTTCCTCGTGGCGTTCTGCTTGCTCTGACAAGTCTCGCAAAAATAACGATTATCTCCTTCCAATTTTTCTTCCTGAGAGGGGAGGCAGAAAGAAAAGTCTTGAGAACAGGTTGCCACTGAAAAGAATCAACCAGTCCCAGCTGCTCGACAGCTGGAGAGTGAAAAGCCTGGAAGTTATTTTAACCGTTTCTACCATTTTAACCATCTCTACCCGAAATAAACTCTTTGGTTAAAAACGCACGCGACGGCACGGCCACAGCAGGCTGCTCTCACTTTTAAGGTGAATTTTAGACCGAATCCAGCCCTGTTCTCATGTTGCTTACAAGATTTGTCAGGTTTGCTCTCCACTTGACTGAGCTGGTTTATACCAAGGGCTATGGAAAAAGAAAATAATTAAATCACCCTTTTACGAGCTCACATGGACCAAGTTAATGTAAAGCCACCGTTTTAGCCTGGAAACTACGGTCCTCTCGTGCTCAACCCCCCAAACATCACCTTGTAAGAGTCATTGTCTACACCCAAGTAGATCCAATGGCAGGATCAGGCCAGAGGAGAACTCCAGCTGCCCTAGAACAAGGGTTGTTCCATCTGAAGGAGGAGCAGACAAACCTGAAATTCACCATCTCGGGATTTTAACGCGTGGACACGAACCCGTCTTTTTTCCATAGCAGACCTTCCACGGGCAGAACAACCGGTTTGCCAAGCGCATCGGCGCAGCCGCTGCCCGACGGCTCAGGTGCAGAGTCACCGTTCCGGGTCAGTTCTGCCCGGAATATTTCGAGCCGAAGCCATGCCTCGAACCTCTAACCTGCCAGATCTCAACTTTAAGATCTCGGCAAATTTTCGAGTCTCATTAAAAGCACTTGCAGCTGTTCCCGCAGCTATTCCCAGCCCTTGCGAGGATTTTGGAGAGCATGTTTTGGAGCAGGGAACGTCTCCCGTTGCTACGCAGACGAGCACCAACATAGAAAACACAAAAACCGGCCGTCCTCCCGGTGCTATCCATGACAAAGCACGCAGGGACTTTTCCCTCAGCTTTTCTGGGAAAGCATCTGAACTAAACACGTGACTTTGAAGTGTTTTTCAAAGCTCTGGTCCGGAGCTGCTCCTTCCTCACATGACTCAATCCTTATTTTCTGGGGCTGCAGGAAAACCCAGCGAGCTCGTACCTTAAGAAATTCCGTTATGCAGTCTGTCAGCTGCTTGTGCCCTTGGATGTTTAACTCCAGCTCGTAAAATTTAGACACGAGTTTGGACTCTCTGCCACACTGGTTACAGCTAGGATTAAAAAAAAAAAAAGACAAAAACACACGAAGTCAGTTCACTGGTTCATGCATCTGAACTCCTCAGCAATTAGGAAACCACTCCTGGAGCCATAAAACCAGGAGAAAAAAGTCAGAATTGATGCGGTTCACGCCTCTACGCCGCGAACGCTCTGCAAGAAGGTGGTGACAGGGTAACAGTATCTACCAGGAAAACCTGGAGCACCCGCTTACAAATTGCATGCACCCTTTTCTATCATTTTTTTTTTCTGGTGAAATCCACAGCTCGGAGAACGCAGGAATGAGAACACGGCACCCGCGTACTCCGTCCCCTGGCTGCAGGACTTCACGTTCCATTAACCCGCTCGCAGGTTGAACTGGTGAATTTTTATGAAAGGATTAAACGCAGCCGGAGAACCGCAACCCCCCCACGCACACGGAACCAGGAAACTTCAAAGGTGAAAAACTCTTGGGAAATGTTTCAGCAGAAGCTTACCTGCCCGCTCCAGTTGTGAGGAGGGATCTTTTCCCCCCCTCCTCAACTTCAAAACCGTTTAAACATTTATCCCAAATTCCAAGTACTTACACCGTGACGTAGGCGTACTCTCCGCAGAACTGCTTTTGCACTATGTTTCGAACATCCGGGTTTTTTTGTTTGGATAAAGTATCTTCCAGCAGCGACATGAACAGCTTGGAAAACTCCTGGGCGTCCTGGAAGAGAAAGCCAAGCCCGTTAACACGCCGCAGCGCAAAGCCCAATCACCACTTCATTGTTAATTTACTCCAAATTACCCAGAGCCCTACACAGAGGCTGAACGGAGGCTCAGGCATGCGCTGAATAGAAAACAACAACAAAAAAAAGACCAGTCGGGAGAACTAAAGGAAAAGAGGAATTTGCTTAAAAGGAGCGCGAGGCCCCCAGCGTGAGCGAGCCTGGCTCCCGGCCAGCCGCGCCGGGTGGGATGACTTCTGCCCCGCTCCTCGCAGAGCTCTGGAATGAAAAAAACCCCAACCCAAACCCCTGCCGAGCTCTCTGTCCCGCTCACGCTCGTTTTTCGAAGCTCGGCACGCGGTACAAGCTGTTATAGGTGAGGAGAAAAAGAAAAAAGTTCCAAAAATGAGAAGCTACTCTGCGAATTCGTCCCTTCCTCCACGCCTCGGGAGTTTCCCCGCGCTCATCTCAGGGTCTTCCTCTCCCACCTTGGCTCTCCTTCAGAAAACAAACAGGCTTTGGCCTCTCCCGGCTGTCCTTTAGGATCACCGGTCAGTAGCGGCCACTTCCTTCCCCTCCCGCGTCCTCCTGAGGAAACGCACGTCGGCGCCGGGGCTCTTCCTCCAGCAATCATGGAATGGTTTGGGTTGGAAGGGACCTCAAAGATCATCCAGTTCCAACCCCCCTGCCATGGGCAGGGCCACCCTCCA